GAAACCTGCTCTAATCGATTTTAGACCACCAAGGGCTCTTTAACGTGCGCAACTTGCACACGGGCCCTCCGAGATTTTTCGCCCTTGTCCGTGAAGGCTAAATGTAGATCTTTCCTACCAGAAGATTAGGGGTGTGGCAGAAAGACAGCAGTAAGGAGGAGCCAAGGAGTAGCAGTAGAAAGGCTGCAGAAAGAGTCACGAGCCCAGAGGAGGGGGCAAAGGAGGTGAGGGGGTGGGGGCAGAAAGAAGAAATGAAAGCAGACAACATAATATTGCTAGAGAACAGGAAAGGAGGTGAAAGAAGACAATTTTAGAGAAGAAAATTTTTCGGTCGTTATCCGAATTCGAACCCGGGACCTTTGAATGAGAGGCTAACACCTTAACCTCTAGGCCACGAGGGCCCCCATGTTCTACTATACGAAAAATGTAATACGATTTATCGCTGAGAGTAACCTGTGCTTTGCATATTAACCCTTTTCATGGCAACCTATTTATATCCCTTTGACCGACAACTGGGTGTAACACACCCGCACGTGTATTATACAGTGGGTTCCAAAAGAAAAGTGATAATGTAATCACCCATTATTCGGGTTAAAGCGTTGCACTACCCACACATACAGCATACCAATTTAAAGCTAAATAAATTCTGCGTCATCTGACACAATAATATTTCGTCTATGTTAAGAGATACTCGAGAAAATAATATGGTCACTCAAAATTGACCTAAAACAATCAGGCAAAAATTTTCAAATCACGGAAACATTGTTTTCGCGCGTGTATTGGGGACCACCGATATTGATAGAATGGACAAACATTGCCTATCCAATGAATGGAGATATAAACAATATTTAATGTCGATAGTTTCAATTTTAAAAAGCAACAGAAAACAGAGTAATCACAAATATTACAAAAACTTGGACTTAACATTAAATGTGCTTATTGTTATTTTGCGTAGTAGCCATTGGTTTTGTGTAGTGCACGAACCGATACGGCATCGACGCTGCTAAATTTTGGACAATATCAGTCATTTTACCCCAGATGTCACAGACGGTTGCAAACGAAGGGTCTGAATTGGGAGCAACGTCAATTTTCTTCAGCTGCTTTTTCATGGGATTTCACATTCCTGTAGGATTCATATCGGGCTATTTACTGGTGACCATTCCAACGTTGATATGATATAGTTTTCCAAGAATTGTCTCGTGACAACATTGGCTCAATGAGAAAGTGATTTGCCCAGAATGGAGATGTCTACTTGAATGACACCAAGAGAGAAATAAAGGTAAGACATGACATTCCACACTTGCGCGATATATTCAACTGAATCAAGCCGTCTGATGATTCACATGCGGACGATTTTGTTCATTCCGTCCCAGACCACCCAAAAAATGGCAGTTTCGTGGCCTCTGCTCCTCACTGACAGATGATTATTCCAAAATCTAACTTACGCAGACATGTTCTAAAAAGTTTGTGCTCTACAAGAAGACCAATAGCTCCTAAACAAAAACAAAATCATATTAATGAGTACATGCAATGTTAAGTCTAAGTTCAGCATGGTATTTGTAAGTAATCTGTTTTCTAACTTTTTTGAAAATGTATTTCAGAAAATGCTGTTCATTGCAGAGACAATAATATTTCCTTTTCATTTGATATTCAATACATATCCATTCCGCCAACGTTGATGAACCTCAATACACGCGCGAACACACTTGTACGTTTCTTTGATTTCGACCAATTTTGCCAAGCCTGAGTTTTTAAGGTCAATTTTAAGAGTCCATATCTCAAGCATCTCTGAACATAAGTGAAATATTATTGAGTCAGATAATGCAGGATTTATTTAGCTTTAAATTGGCATGTTGCATGAGTGGGTAGTGCAAGGCTTTAACACGATGATCGGGTGATTACATTTTTAAGTTTCTTTAGAACGCCACTTTTCAGTAAAACATGTACTCACCTTACATCCGGTGACTGGGTGTAAGGAATCCAACTCTTCTTTGTTAGTTGAGCTATTATTTACTCAAAACGCTGCATAACGTTCAGCCTTTCCCCATGGCATGTACTCCAAGCAAAAACATTGTGACCCCACCCCCCCCTCAACAAGGAAAAAAATATCGTACTCCCTTTACTCACCATATTCGTCACTGTCACCAACGACAGATGCTTTTCTCCTACGCTCATTGAGAAAACAATAGATACTGTCATCTGTGGTTGATTCTTCAAAGAAAGAAGCTTTGTTTGGTCTAAATTCTGGGTCACTGTCACCCTGTTAAAAGTTAACTCAATGTCGAGCTCATGTTTGCCACCATGAACCTCTGGCTGATCTATGCATCATGCTCAGATAATTACGTTGTTCTGACGTTTGATTCTTTTTCTTCTTCTGCTGGTTCATCAACCTGCAGTACAATTGATGTTTACGTATGTGACCACTTTTCATACTTCGTAGGGCCCCTTGCTTTCAGGCGGCCACGTTCAGATTTCGGAGGTACTCTTTATGTCTTTCTACTGACTAGAATATTGTCAGGTTTGGTATTAATTAATTTTGAATTTTTCTTTGGTGGCGGCCGAAGCCTGCTCTTATCGATTGTAGAACCACCAAGAGAGCTTTAAGTGCGGAGCTTGCACAAAGGACCTCCGAGATTTTTTGCCCTTTCGAGAAAGCCAAATGTTCGGTCACTCCTACCCTAAGATCAGGAATGTGTGGCTGAAAGACAGTAGTAAGAAGGAGCAAGGGAAAGCAGTACTTGTAGAAATAGTCAGGAGCAAAGGAGAGAGGAGCCCCCTGGCGGGGGGTGGGCCGGGTTAGAGCGAGAAAGTGGAGAATAAAGCAGACGACAGAACATGTCTAGAGAAAAGGAAAGGAGGTGAAAAGAGAACATTTTAGAGATTTTTTTTAATGTTTCCGTCGCTGTCAGGGTTCGAACCTGGAACCTATTGAATGTGAAGTGAGTGTGTACTTCTAGACCACGAGAGCCCCGAATGTTTTGGTTCTGATTGCACTGGGTTTTTTAAATTATCTTCCAGGAATTTTTAAAATCCGATACAAAATGCTCACACGTACATGATACTTTTTTTTAAAGTTCTATGAAATGATCCCAAGTAGAAATTCGTGTGCCGGTGTGTTTTTATTTGTTAGGTCGTTTTTTGTTTTTGTTTCTGTTTCTGTTTTCTTTCTTTCTCTCTCCATTTCTACACTACTGATAGTCACAAGTACATGTATGCGACTCCCATCATAAATCCGTGTTTGTTTATTTGTTTGTTTGTTTGGTGTTTTTGTTTTCATCTTATTTTTGCTTTTCACCCCCAAAGTCAAAATTCGGCTCAAAATTAAGGAATTTGAGTTGTGGGCATTTTTAGCTTCCTCAGCCTCTCCTACAACTATTTCATCGCATAAGAACCCCCAAAAACCAATTTTTTTTCCCATACCGGGCATGTTTGTGACCGCCATTTCCTCATAAAGTAAGTATTTTATTTTTCTTTATCGGCCGTTTTCTCAAAATGCGACTTTTCTCTATAGCCAACTTTTTAAAAATAACTCCACCATTTTTTAAATCCAATCTTCATGAAATTTTCACAGAATGAAGACAAGAGGTAATACTAAAAATTTGTCTGTCAAATTTTTTATATATGGAATAGATTTTTGTTGGTGGTGTCTGGAGTGTGGATTTTCACGATTTTTCGCAAACTTGAATGATACCTCAGGAAAAAATTCATTACAAATTTTCTAATTCGTTTATGAAAAAAATAACAGACAAATTTTTAGATCTGATGTTTGTAAACACGCATGCAAAAAAAAAAAATCAATTTCCATTAGCGATAAGTGCGGTATTCATTACGTCAGACATGTCAACTAAATTCAATATGGCCGCCGTATCCATGGAAACGAAACTTTTTTCTCAATTTGATTGCGGATTTCAAGACTCCTTACTATGCTTGTTATATGTTTGAAATTTGGTAAAATTCGGTCCAGTAAACAGCGAGATAGCCTTCAGGCATAGCCCCCCCCCCCTTTAATAATACACACATGTACATCTATGCTTCATAAATTAATGACTCACATTAAAATTTGTGTGTGTGTGTGTGTGTGTGTGAGTGTGTGTGTGTGTGTGTGTGTGTGTGTGTGTGTGTGTGTGTGTGTGTGTGTGTGGAGGGGATATAATGTGTGTGTGTGTGTGTGTGTGTGTGTGTGTGTGTGTGTGTGTGTGTGTGTGTGTGTGTGTGTGTGTAATCATATAAGTAAGAGTATGATAGTGTAGGAGTATAATAAATCAATCATGGAGAAACACTATCAAATCGGTAAACAAAGATGGAACGGTGAATTGCAATCGCATCATCTAAACCGAAAATGATGACGTCCACCTGAAGAGGACAATGCAAAGAGGAAACAACGAAAGGTCAAACTCCAACAACATTCTGGAGACTGTTTTCAAGCTTGCTGTTCAGCTGACAGCATTTTAAAATACTTTTTTCTTTAAAATTCTCCCTGCGACAGCTCCTTATTGCTTTACATTGTGATCAACTTCTCTCTTTCTTGTTCCTCCTCATGAACGGATTTGCGGGAGATTTGACTGAGCTCTAGTTTTAAGCTTACTGAAAATCGATACAAATGTAACATGTTTGGTCTAATTGTATTCGATACTGTAAGCGATTACACCAAGTTCAATTGTAACAAAGAAATTAGTCAAATACTTGTCGCTATTCCCCGGGTAAAATGACGTCAGCAGTCCGGAGCGCTCATATGACCTCAAGTAGTTGCGAGCGCCGTAAAACACTGTCTTACAATTTTATTTTTTTTTATGTGTTTATAACTGACCAATATTCAGCTTTCGGTCTCAAGCTAGGACATATGACCAAAAAAAAAAAAAAAAAAAATGAAAGAGGAAAAAAAATTAAAATGCGTGGTATTAAAATATAATGATATAATAATAAGAATATAAAATAAGTGGTATTAAAATATAATGACATAATAATAATAATTATTATTATTATTGTTTTTTATCCTTCAGACGACCCGGGCCCTGCCCACCTCCAGGAGTGCCCCTATCCCCAGCTGTTTGATGCCAATCTGAGGAGGTGCGACAACTTTCTCCATGTGGTCAACACGGACGGGTGTGGTACCCGGACACAGCCCAAACATTTCTGTGAGTGTGTGTGTGGGGGGGGGGGGGTTCCAGGGCTGCTGTCAGAGTTGTTGCTCTTGGGTTTGTTTGTTATGGGTGGGGGGAGTTGTTTTTTTGTTATTGTTATTATTGGTTTGGGTTTTTTTATAGTAGAGGGTTTTACGGCGCTCGCTACTGCATAAGGTCATATGAGCGCCGAGGGGTGAGTGTCAACAGAGAAGTCTTTACATGGAATCAGACTTAGACTGCTCACCTCTCTAGCTTCAACAGCACAAGGTCTGCTTCGGCTATCAAGGCACCCCAAAATAGCAGGTCACAAGGGAGTGACAAACATACAAAAGAAGTAGACGAAAATGAAAATAGTAAGGATCAGGAAAGAAAAAGCAGCAGTTCCCTGTTGTAGATCAGGCACAGTTATGAGCGTTACATGAATCAGCCCATTTTCGACTGCACTTGAACGAGAAATGTCCCCCCTTTGGGAATGGCCTAAAGACACTACAGTCAGTGGCACTGCCCCGGGGGGGGGGGGGGGGGGGTAATTATTGGTTTGGGGGCGGAGTTGTTTGTGTTGTGGTTAACGTTGTTATTGTTGTTGTTTTGTTGTATGTTGTCATATCAGAGCCAATTCCACGTACAGTATCAAGGTTTTAGCGAATTTTTCAGGAGGAGCAAAAAACGTATTTTATGTAGGAATGTATTAATGATGTGTTTGTGGCGTCGGTGGCCTAGTGGTTAGGCTCTCGGACTCGCAACCGTAAGGTCGTGGGTTCGAATCCCGTTAGGGACCCGACGTTGTGTCCTCGGGAAAGGCACTTTACACGAATTTTCCTCACTTCACCCAGGTGGGAATGGATACCCGGCTATAGACAGAGAAAGATCTTGTCAGTTTGTTAGTGTTTGAGCGCTTAATCGGCTGCTTGCACTGTATGCTTCCCGGGAAGCTGAGAATGTTTCTGAGTGTTCTATGGTCTGCTGGGGTAATAATATAGTGTAAAGCGCATAGAGCCTGCTGTTGAGCGGGGATATGCGCTATACAAATGCTTTCTATTATTATTATTATTATTATTATTATTATAATTATCAACACTCCAGAAACGATCAAGACCTAAAAGTGTATCATATGATACGCGATTTAGGAATTCTTGGCTTTACTGTCGGTTCTGTTGTAATTCTTGATGCCTCATACAAGTTGTAACAATATTGAAATCCATTCTGCACATCTCAAGATGAGCTAATTTGAAAGCAAACAGCTATGATAAGTGAAACAGTCATTTGCTTTTTATAGCGATTTTAATGCGGGGAACTCAATGAAACGTATACCGAAACGAAGCCCATGATACGCGCTTTTGATTGGTAAAAAAAAAAAAAATCGCGCCAAAATCTTGATACACGGATCTGGCTCTTATAGGACCATGTGTTTGTGTGAGTGTGTGTGCCATTGCGTGTATATGTGTGTGTCTATTTCTCTCTCTCTCTCCCTTTCTATCTCTCTCTCTCTCTCTCTCTCTCTCTCTCTCTCTCTCTCTCTCTCTCTCTCTCTCTCTCTCTCTCTCTCTCTCTTTTGTCTTTCTCTTTCTCTTTCTTTCACTTGCTCTGTGTTTGTGTTTGTATTTGAACGTGTGTGTGTGTGTGTGTGTGTGTGTGTTTGTGTGTGTGTGTGTGTGTGTGTGTGTGTGTGTGTGTGTGTGTGTGTGTGTGTGTGTGTGTGTGTGTTGTGTGTCTTTGTGCAGTTTTGTCGATTCGCATGAAAACATTTAAACCTTGCTTTTATATTTTCATCCAGGTGATTATGCCAGCACGTGCCCGAGTACACGCTTCCCCACTTGTGACCTCTGCCGGATAGTCCTCCCTAGCTGCGAGAAAAAAACAAATGGTATCCATAGCAACCCACCGGGAAGGGCAATAGCTCCGAGTTTTGTGTATTGCGTGGAGGGTCGCGTCATGGCTACCTCCCCTTGCCCACCAGGAACTCTGTTCCACGAATCTGTCAAGTCGTGCGTGCCGAGTTCCAGCAAGATGTCTGCTCTGGGGCAGCATGATGGACGTGAGTGACGGACGTTTTTCTCAGAAATTGTCGAAAAATTATGTTTGTATCACTGGCAAAATTGAGGGCAAGCTAGGCAGGGGTAGGCCCAGAACAACATACTTAGGGAACCTAAACAAATGGGTAACAGGGAAAGATCAGGGAAACGTGGCTTTTTTTTTACAGCATTCGAGCAAAGGAATGAATGGAGAACCATGATCGCCAATATCTGTCGCAGATCTGGCACTTGATGATGATGATGCTGCTGTTAGAAACAGTGGAATAAACATAGTATTTTCATATAGAGCCTGCACGCCTTAATTGTTGCAAGAGATAGAAAGGGAAAAAAAACCCATGGCATGTACATTGTTCTTAGATTTAGTCGAAAAAAAATGTAATTTATATTACTGGGTTGTTTAAAGTTATTTTAAAAAATATATTGTTGTTATGGATATTTGAATATTCATGTTATCTACGTTGCTGTTAGCAATGGTGGAATAAACATTTGGTCTCTTTTTAAACAAGGGGATTACCTGAAATAATGCTGTTTAGAGAAAATCGAAGGTAACGTTTTTGCCCCTTGTTCATTTTGTTTATAAGACAAGGTGAGTTTTCTCTATAACCAAACAAATATACACACCAATGAAACCAACATTCTCCTATAGGTAGGGCAATGCCCGCTTTTGGTGTAGATCAAGATTTCTGGAAAACCCCGAAATCTGGGTTAGGCCGCTTGTCCTTAAAAGCAATCATTTCATGTACAGGCCCATATTGTTGTTAGACATACGGGTAATAGAATAAGCGTGACATGTAGGTTGTTGTTCGGTTTAGTCGAATAATCATGCCATGTATCACAGCTTTTACACGGTAGAATATACATGTACCACGTGACGCATGTTGTTGCTACATTTAGGAGGTTTATCATGCCATATAGATATACTGTTGCTAGTTTGTTGCTAGATTGAAAAATATTCTACATTATTCAATAATATATTATATTATTAATCATTTACATTTATCACTGCTGTTAGATTGAGCAGAATAATCATGTCCTGTATATCGTTGCTTGATTAAGTCGAATAAGTATGCTATGTATGTCACTGTTAACAACAACATAAAAAAGACATATATGTATATAAAATACGGCGTTTATGTCATTAATCCATATTGGTTTCTTTGATTTTAGTTTTCGAATTCGGTTCTGTAGAGGTAAAGAGAATACTTATTCTTTTCTCAATGGATGGAAGCATACAATGACATTTCTATCAAGAAAGGTAACAATTGGATCAAACAGCCTTTTAATTAAACAAAGTTCGATAGTATAATAGATAATGAAGCAATGATAAGAATATACGATTATATAGGGTAAAAGACATTGTGATTTATTGCTAAGGACGTCTGTGCTTTGATAATGCATGGTAATAAAAATGACTTGCAGTGTTTCTTTTTGCGAAAAGCGTCACACAAGATCATCATTAATTTTTAGCATCAAGGAGACATAGTCCTCCTTAACAGAAGTATTTTTGAAATATAATAACACATTAGGAAGTAAAACATACTATGCATGGTTTCATAAGACATGTGATTGCAAATTGTTTACTTCTCTAAAAAAAGCCAACTAACTATAATACGTTGAAAATCAAGAGTAGCCTTAAAGAGTTTTTCACTTATAGGCGTCGTCTCTAACAACACATGATTATGGAATTAATTGTTTCTAATTACCACAACTGAAGATATACACAGAACAAGTTGAAATCTTAAACTTCTTATTGGTATCACCCAATGACATTCAAGAATGAAACGGTAGTAGGTTATGTAAGGTGGTCAGTCCTTCCTTTCTCGTTCTGTCTGTCTGTCTGTCTGTCTCTTAAGCTCTCGCCCCTCTCCCTCTCCCCTCTCTCTTTCCCCTCTCTCTCTCC